GCTATTTGAAAATTCAAATCCAATAAAGGGCTCCAACAAAACATCCTGGATATGAAGACCATATTTGAAGAAGAATGGAACAAAATACGAACTAAAATTTGCAAATCATTAACTGGGAAAGAAGAGGTTGGTTGCTGTAGAAGTAAATAATGGCTATTCTACAAAGTATTAAGTGAAGATTATGTATTTTTTTTTTAAGAATACTTTTTTCACCCATTAAAATTAAAAGATTTATTTCTATTAAATCAAATTTTTTTTCTGTTTTCCATGCATATTTAGTTATTATGCATCTGTGTACAGTTAATTATATGAAAAGTATGTATATTCATTAGTTGCAAATACAATAAATTAAACATTTGTATGTGTACGGATATTTGTTTCCCCCCCACTGTATGTATATATATATATAAGTTTGACTATGAAAAATCCACAACATCAGTAATATTTTTAGACACCCGCATTTACATAGATGAAAACAGGAAACTACAAATGACACTACACACTAAAATAACCGACACCCACAACTATGTACACTTCAAGTCTTCCCACCCTAAACACCTCAAAGAGAACCTTCCCTATTCACAAGCACTTAGACTCAGAAGGATATGTTCCAACAATGAAGAATTAAATAAACACATTGAAAATCTGGAGCATCAATTCACAACACATGGCTATAAACAACACCTAATCAGGGAACAAATAAATAAAGCAATTTCCACACCTAGAGAAGACACCCTAATGTACAAGATTAAAAATAAATCTAGCCGCATTCCTCTAGTAACCACTTTCAACCCCACTCTGCCTCCACTATCCCAAATAATCAAACTTAATTTGGGAAATACTACATCTCAAACCAGACCTAAAAAACTGTTTAAGGAACCTGGCCTTCTTGCATATCATAGACCTAAGAACCTAAAAGAAATCATAGGTAGTAACCACATTTCAGGGGACAAGGTAATCTGTAATGAACTAAGAACAAAAACAACAGGATTTTCCCAACCATGTAACAATAAAAGATGTTTATCTTGCAACCATATTAAACAAACAAATTCATTCACTAGCTCAATCACTAAATCTACTTTCAAAATCTACCATGATTCTAACTGTAGAAGTCATAACATAATTTACCTCCTAGAATGCACACTATGCCAGAAACAATATGTAGGAAAATCTGAATGGCCCTTTCACTACAGAATTAATAATTATCCTAAGTTTAATTAAGTCGACTCCCCATGAAAAATTATTACCTGTAGAACAACATTTCCACCTGGAAAAACATGATTTCAAAACCCATGCCAAATTCACTATAATTGAGAGAATAGAAAAGTTCAGAGCAGATAACATTAGAAAGATTTTAAAGTCCCATGAAAATAAGTGGATACAACGTAAAAAAACAAAATACCCAGCCGGGCTAAATCATAAATTTAACAATATATAGATAGTAACAATATATAACTCAACAAATCAAAACCTACCCACATTTCTCACCCACACAAGACAGAGACATATTTACGGAGGTGTTGAGGCCTCACACTTATACACACACCCACACAAATATACACACTTACACACATCATACTCACTCACTCCCTAATGAGCCAAATGATAAACACACACCTCACAGCAATACACACGCTTACACGTATCATACTCACTCACCCCTAAGAACCAAATAACACACACACAAACACTAAACAGAGACACATCCCCTCACCAGGTCCAATAAAACTGTCAAACTGACCAGAGAATTCAGAGTAACATGTATCTATCCAGCTCTTATCTCAAATAACAACTTAAAAGAGACTGTTTGACCAACACAAGGAATGTTAAAAGATTCATGTTAAAAAGATAAAAAAAATAAAAAAAAACAAATGAAAACTACAGACAAAAGATCATTTTCTCCAGCAAAAGACATTCATTTCTGTAGTTTAGTGCTACCAACAAGCAGAAATATTTCTCCTCCCGATGATGGCCATTTTGGTCGAAACTAGTCGAGGAATCTAAATGGAATAATAATAAAAAAAAACGAAAGAATATTAATCTACAACCCAGTGTGTCTAAAGATTTTAATTTTTTTATTTTCTTATTGTTCAAATATATATATATATATATATATGTATGTATGTATGTATGTATCTGATTTATTTTTTTGATTTTTTTAAAAATATTTTTGGTAAGCATTGATATGAATTTTCTGTATGTTTACACTTGATTGATATTGCATAATTTTTTATTGAAATAACATCTTCTGGGATTTTTCTTTATATAACTGTAAAAAAAAATTTATGACCCCCTTCCCTCCACGAAATTAAAAAGTACATACAAGATATCAAAAGAGGGATAAAACAGACCCCACAAAAATACTTACAAAAGTTTTCTAATAAATGAACCTATTCCTATACAATTTCATTCATTAATAATTACTGAAAATTTCATTTGAATTGAATAATTCTCTGATTTTTGGAAAATATTTTAATATTGGGGGGAGTAGTGAATTTTGTTTTCATTTTGGAAAAGAAGCATCCATTTTGGTGGTACCTAATTTAACCACATAGCATTCTATATGACAGGCCTACTAATAGTACAACACAGGGCTAGAACTAGGAGCCTATTTCAAGATGTTTTTAATGTCAAAAATTTTTGGGGTGGGCACTGGCAATTATTAAATAAGACAAACAGGAAGACAAAACTAATAAAAGATCTGATCCAGTCAATGTTGACATTTTTAAGCAAAAAAATTAGTTAAGCAAAAACATTACTTTTCACATACATTATATAAAAGTTCTTTGTTATATGCATTTTAATCTTTGAAGTAATTATCAACCATAAAAGTGTTTTAATAAAACAGAAACCATCTCTGAACTATGACTTCCAGAATAAAAATATGAAATGAAACAAGATAAATTTGAAAGTAACTTATTTTATTAATTTCATTGTTCAGAAATGAAATAACTATTGTTAGGCTGACTCGTTTTGTCATAAAATTACTTTTTATGACTAGAGGAGTGCCTAGAAAAATTACTCTTCAAAATGCATAGTTTACCAGCAGGGTTATGGTTAACATTTCATATACCTTGCTTATATAAAAAAATATTGAATTAAATTTATATGACATTAACTTTACACAACATTCTTAATAAATGACTTTTTCATTATGTAGTATAAAAATATGGTATTTGCTTCTGTTTTATGTTTTTAAAAAAGTAAACTAAACTAAAATTAACCATACATCTTTATTAAATATCTTCTAGAAAGAAAAATATAAATCACTCATAAAATTTATCATCAATATATTTGTTATTATGAATAACAATATCATAGAGAAAAGTATTAAATTAACTTTATGTGACAAATAATGACACTTGAAATAAATTTTGCCATGTAAAACAGAATTGAAGAAAAATCCCTGTTAAAAACTAAACATATTTTTTTACCTATTAGAAATATAAGTACAGCTTATGCAAAAAAAAGAAAAGAAATAAAATATAGTTAATTATTAGTTTATTTGCTTTTATGAATAAATATTTAATACAGAAGAATATTAAATTAACTTTAAGTGAAAAATGTTAAATAAACTACCAAGTGACAATTCTTTAGTGAATTTTACACAAAAAGTGTGTTTTAGTAATAAAAGTAAAATATTATCAAGAAAACCAAAGGAAAAGAAAATGTTATCTGTGCTTCTATGAAATAAGCTAAATCTATTCCAAGTGTAAAAGAAAACATTCTTTGAATTTCTTAAACCAACTAGAATAAGAAATCACAAAACCAAACCAAAATAATCTTGAATGGCCATTCTTCTAGATGTTTTTGCATTAATGCAGGTTTCACTTTGAACCCATATTGTTCCTAATTTTCATTAATGACCTTCCTAATTGCATCAGTTCTCAACTTGGTATCTATACTGATGACATAATAATTGTCTTATAAGTAATTCTGATCAGTTCAATGAGGTCAAATTAGCAGCTGATCTCAAAAACAACCTAGACTTTATGAATTTAAGTGCAGTACTAGATTGGCAACTAGGTCTCATCATTTTAGAGTTGAAATGACTAGTTGTAACCGTAAGTTTTATTCTAACAGTTTCTTTTATCACATTTCTTGCTTGGGGAACTCTCTACAAGCTTCTTGCTTCCCAGTCAACTTTGATCTTCAAAAGTTTAAATGCCATGTCAACTGTTATCTGCTGTCTTCTTAATTCTTGTTCTTTTATTCTTCTCTCTCCTTAATAGTAATTTTTCTTCTCATATTTTCTTACACTCATTAACCTCATGCATATTAGTGGCTTTATTTCCTTTCTTGTGGTAAAATAAAATAAAAAAAGAAAAACTAAAATGTATCTATAGTGAAATGAATGTTGGGAAGTCACTGGACTGAGTTGCTTTTTCTGCTTGTTTCAAGCTATTAAATGCATGGGCAATGGCTTAACACTTGGTTAAATACTAGTGACTTTGAACTAGTAAAATTATTATTTTGGTAGTGCTTCTGGCCCTTAGTTGCATCTTGAGAAGGCATGTAGTATAGAAATCCATGTTTAATCAATACGTGTATCTTTTGGGGTTTCAATTAGAACAACAAATAATGACCTTCTCACCTATTACAATTGGTAATATTAGACATATTATAAAGGTTTCACATAATTGTCTCCCCTTGACCGGAAATTAATAAATTGTATGCTTTGGCAGAAGTGACTAGTAAAATTCTGTCTGCAGTGTTTTTTAAGTTGAATAAAGCCTACGAAAAAGGTATATTTCTTATTAATTCATTTCTTAATTCATTTGTACTATTGTTAACAAAATACACAATTTATCATTACAATAATTATCAAAAAATATTTAAACTATTTTGTCTAAATGAAAATCTTTACTATTAATTTTCTCTCAAAGTAAACAAGTCACATGAATTCTTGTGGAGAGCAATACAAAACTTTATTTTTTATGAAGGTAAAAATAAACCTGGAGAACAATAAATATACTTGCATATTTTACTCAATTACTTACCACAAAATATTCAGAATTGTACAAGTGACAAGAGCCATTACAACTGCAAGTCGATATTTTTGAATCTGAAAATGGATGCCAAAGAGAAAAGCTAAGAAAAGACTACTTGAAATATAAGTTAATAGGAACATAATAAAATACTGATTATGTCAAGAATGGGAATATTAGTCATGACTGACTTACTTGACTCATGAAAAGAAAATGAAGGAATAGAATTGAAAGAACAAATGGATGTGTTTACCAGCAATTTGGTAAATGCTATCAATGAAGTGGGCTTAAATTTGAGTCAAAGCAAACCAATGATAATAATAATGTAGCAGTTATGATTTTCCATTTAGAAGCTGCAGTTGTATGGAATCAATATTGGTCTTACAGTCAAAGTTCCATTGCCACTACTTTTTATGTTACAAGCTTATACATAATGTCTACTCATATACAACTTCAAGAAAGGAGATAGAAGCATTAGAAACTACTCTCACCAGGATCCTTCTTAATTGTCTCCTGATCTTGTCAGAGAGCATCCTCCCTGAAAGTCAATGTGTTTTCTGAGCCAAAAGAGGAACCATCTATATAATTTTCTCCATGATCCAATTTCAGGAAAAAGTGCAGAGAACAACAAAAACCACTGGTAATGTTTTTTTCAGTTCAGTGTTTAAAAAGTGTTCAAAGACCAGCCATGTGGCAGATCCTCAGATGCTATGGATACTCCAAGAAATTCACGGCACTCATCTGAGTTCTACACAAGGGAATGATGGGTCATTTCTAACATCAAACCAGCCTTTCAGACCCTTTCGCATCACAGGGGGTTGAAAGAAGGGTGCATACTTGCTCTTACACTCTTCTCCATCTACTTGACAAGCAATGCTTCAGGAGATTTCAGACAACAAACCTGGAATCAACCTTCAATATCACACAGATTGCAGCCTCCAGTCCAGGACTTGAATGATAAACATACAAGTCACAGAGCTCCAATACACCAATAATATCTGCACCCTAGCCCATGAACTTGAAGACCTCCAGAACTTAGAAGACAATTTCTCCAGAGCATACATGTGCTACAGACTCAGCATCAACATGGCAAAGACCAAGGTCCTGTGCCAACCCCAACCAGGACATCAACCATCACCTGGAGTCAAAATCACCATCAACAGACTGGACCTGGAGAATGTTGGACAATTTTTATACCTTGGTAGTATACTAAGATCAAATGAATTGGTTGATAAAAATATTGATAATCAAATTAAGTTTGCCCATGCATCATACATGAAGCTATTTAAAATCCTGGACTAACACAAACCACCATGAAACATGATCTTCTGAGCTGTTATAATCTCAACTCTTCTCTATGCCTGTATGACCAAAGAAACATCCACAAACTTGAAAGATTCCATCAAATAAAACTTCTTTAAATCCTGCAGAACACATGGCAGTACCAGATCACAAACAACAAAGTTCTCAGTGTAAAGATCAAGAACCTAGAAACCATCATGACTCACCACCAACTTCGACATTCTGGACTCCTTGCCCAAATGCCAGACATCTGTTTTCCCAAAGAAATCTTCTTTTCAGAGTTCACATCTGGCAATCAATTCAAGGATCAACTCAAAAAACCTCGCTGAGGACTGAAATCAATCCAGTTAATTGGGAAAAAGAAGCTGCAGAAAGAACCAATTGGAGAAGAGTCCATGAAAAAATAAAATCCTTCAAAAATGCCAGAAGACAAACAGAAGAGAGGAAAAGAGAAAAGCCTGAGATTTCCATCCCTTAAACCCTCCTACCCTACCATGCAGTGGTTGTGGACATCTCTTCAGATCCAAAATAGAACTCATTTCAAGCAGAAGGAAATGTTGATAAGCACCCCAATACTTGACAAGTTCCACCAATGATAACAACTTATACATATATGCTAATTAGTGGTAGCACTAACCAATCACTACCACATCTCCTTGAAGGGAATAGGCTTTATGCCCTTCATTAATCTCAAGCTTCTTTTTTGATTTATATTTTCATTTTAACTTACTTCTCTATCCCTTTTTAGAGATCTGTATGTATTTTTCTCTATAGGAGATCTAGATCTATCATTTGTTGGTGAAGTCCTGTTCTTCATAATCAATGCTTGAATCATCCAAGTTGTCTTGGTCTTCCATTGATTCCTCATCACTCATTTCCTGTTGGTTTATGTTATAGTGTCTGAGCTGGACTCACTTCTTAACTCAATTTCCATCTCTTTCTTTGTATTCTTATCTGGATTTTATTTGATCTACATGAGCAAGAACATTATTGCCCTTTTTAGACATTAATGCTGCATTGTGTGCCTTCTGCATTATAAAATTCACCTTTCAGATGCAGATTCTCTATTCTTCTTGTACCACATTCTTTTTATTAATGGAGTATGACATAGTTAATGGTGACATTATCTGTCTCCCCATCAATACAGATTGACTTTCTAATCTGTCAACATGTGGTATAGTTCTGTAGCTAAGCAATTGTCTTGATAAGAAATGGTCAATCACATCTTGTTGAGGAGAAAATGCTCATAATCCCATTTTTATTGTCTACAGTTCCATTTGATTGTGGATGTTGTGGTGGTGTTTTATATAGGATACATCCAATTTTCCTTCACCAAAAACACAGACTTTCATCAGAAAATACTAAGGAAATTATCTGGCACTAATGTTTTTGGCACTCCATTTCTAGCAAATATAACTCATAATATTTGCCTTATTGCACTAGTTTTCCTATCATGAACACAAATAACTTCAGGTCAGCCAGAAAAAGTTTCAACCAAAATAAAACACTATCTCACACTTTTAATGTGTGCAAGACCAAGGTTCTGTCTCCTTAGGCCATGTGTGTTCTTTATTTTTATTTTAGCACATTCCAGATATTTGTTTACCACTGTTTGCAATCATTGTTAATTACTGATGACTAAAAAAAAAACTTTTTCTTAAAGGACAATTTTAGCTTATAAAAAAAACAGCTTTCTAGGATTTGGCATTTTGACTGTCATAAATTGAGAAAAAAGCTGTGGGGCAGCTCAATTTAGAAAATTTCAGGACTTTTCAAGGAACTTTTGGGCTATTGCTGTTTTTCCAGGAATTTTCAAGGTTTCCATGATCTGTACAAACCTTGTAAACATTACATGCATATCTAAGCCACCATGCTTTTAATTTCAAATGCTTCTGTGTAGTTGTAATTCCACAATGAAAATTATCATGCACACTTTTTATTACATCTTTTCTCCATTTTTTAGGTGATATTACTAAATCTTCATTACATACAAACACCAATTTCTACAGTTAACTTATGTCTGTCTATATCTCTGAGATGAGGTATTATGATTATTTACATTATTCGAACTGTTATCCTCATCTTCATTGCTATATTTACAATGCCCAATGGATTAAGACCTTGGTTAGATCCAGTGACTAGACCCAAAGAGTTGTGAGTTCAATACCAAGCTACAGCAGTGGTGAACCAAAAGATTTGGAGAGTTGAGTTAAATAACTGAGACATCCGGAAGAGGAATGGCACATGGAGCTAGAACAACCTACCCTGGTGGATGAAATAAAGGTTTCGATTTGAAATTCCAATTACCTGACGAAGGCCGAAGCGTACAATGGCGTGAATATGGAAATGAAGATGAGGATAACAGTCTGAATAATGTAAATAGTTAACTTATGTTTAAATTCTTTGTATGGCCTTTCAGCTTTTGTATTAGTTTTTTATTCTAGATATCAATATCGTCAATTTCTACCCAGTGCAAAAATTCACCTCTCATATTTTTTAATATGCTGTCTTTTTGTTCCCTTTTAAAATGTAATCTGAATAATACATCTACATGAGAAATAACATTTCCTTTTACATATTCAATATAAAAATCAAAAAGCCCTTTATGGCCAATCTTAATTTTCTGGAAGATGTAATGTTCAGTAATTCCTTCATGGGGTTAAAAATGAATGCTAGAAGCTTATGGTCAATCTTCAACAAGACTTTTCTGCCCAATAAAAATTGACAAATACTACTAGAGCTGCTTTTTCTATATTTGAGTAATTAGAGTTGTCTGACATTAATACTCTAGAAAGATACATAACTGAGTGTCCTTCCTTGGCTAACATTGCTGATATGGGATATTTAATAATAGCATCCACAGTTAAATATAACATCATTTTGGATGTCAAAAATCTTGATAACAGGGTATTTTGCAAAAGCTTTTTTCAAATTATCAAATGCTGTTTATTGCATATTAGTCCACTTAAATTCATTGTTCTTTTTATGCAATTTACTAAATAGTTCTGAATATATGGGTAAATTGGGATCAAATACAGAACAAATATGGATTAGAATTTGACAATGATAGGATAAAAAACAAATAGGAAACCCTTATCAATCTAACATGTTTCACTTTTATAAAAGCATCATCAGAGAATAAGATGTGAAGAAAAAGGAAGAAAGAAATTCTGGTATATTTTATTTTTGTGTTGATTTTCATTGGCTTTACATGCATTTGACTTGTTACACAACATTAGTATAATTTATAGCATTCTGAATTCAAGGAGAGATGGTGTGTCCTTTTGAAACCCCAAGAAATTAATGGCGGATTCCAAGCCTAAATGAGAAAACATAAATATTGCTTTATGTATGTAAGTGTATCATAATTCTACTTTGCCTATGTTATAATGTATATTCCTAACTGTGTATGTTTGGGTGTGTGTGTCTGGTAGACATTATGTTTGGTGGTTGTTCACATGTTGATTTGGGAATGTTTTTTATGCAAACACCATTTGTTTTAGATAAATATATGTTAGATACTTAAAGAATGTGTTCAATGAAGGCAATATAGTATTTTTAATGCATGTTTATTATTGGTAAAATATTTATCAGTATTCCCCCAAAGTATTTCCTGTGTAAAGAATTATATTCTTTATCAATTAGAGTAGTATTTGTAAACTCAAATTTATGGCCAGTTTTGTTCCTGTATATTACAAGTGAGTTTAAAAGGTTGTCCAAATGTAGATCCCTTTTATAATTGTAGTAATGGGCTTTTAGATTTCAAGATGTCTCACAGATAAAAGTGCTTTTACATTGCAAGAAATTTATTTGATAAATACAAGCATCGGAAGTGGTGTTGGATTTTTTCTTTTTTTTGCTTATTTATATCTCCAATTGTATTGACATTGCCGATAACTTCATCAACAACACAGAATTCATAATACAACCCACTAATACTACCAACAAAATTTGAAAATAAATTAGTTATCTTTAAGGCAAGGATCTTTACCACCAGGTCCAAGAGTCTTAGTCATCCTTAGTCTACTTAATACTTGGTTTATTTTTTTTTGTTTCAACTCTTCTTCATTAGCAGGAATGAAATGTGTTTCAACTCTTCTTCATTGGTTGCACTCAAACATATCATCTTGATATGTTGTCATATTTTTTTTATGTCTCTTCTTAAAACATTTTCTATTGCTTTCTGAAATATGTCACTTGCTATTTTCACCCCATAAAGCATACAATTCCATCTAAGCAGTTCAATTAGGAAGTTAATAGTGGTATTTCCTTAAATTTATTATCAATTTGAATTTGATGATATGTGCTTTTTATATCAATTTTTGTAATACACTTAATTCCTGCTAATGAATGTAATACATTTTCAATGTTTAGCATAGGATAAGAATCTAAACAAATCTTATGGTTTATGCCTACTTTATAGTCACCACAGATCACTATTTGGCTTTCTCAGAACTACTATAGGTGACGACCATTTACTTCCACAGTTAATAAGTGAATTCAAATCTGTAAGATTCACAATAAGAGAAGTTACAATTTTCTTTCAATATTTGCTTTATAATCTTTTAAGATTCTATTTTCAGGATTAGTTTATTCCATGCTATTAACCTTAAGCAAATCTGTTTCTTTTAATCCATAGCTTTTATTACAATCCACAACTACAATTTCAATCCTCATGTTCATTTCAAATGTATCTTCAAAATATCCTAATGTCTTTATGCATGATTCATCAATCTGTCTTAATTTTAAATGACTTTTATATAGTTTTGGATTATAAATTTGTTCCCAAAAGTTCACAGAATTAGCATTACATCATTACTGGTATCGATTTACATTTTAAAATTTACCCATTTCATTTTATTTCCATGAAGGTATTTTCTTTCTTATTCTTTTGTAGTGAAAAAACAGCAGTTTCACTTTTTTACACATCTGTCCTTATGCTGGACATTTTTCTTTAGTTCATGCTCAAAATTTGCATTTTAGTGTGGTTTTCTTTATCATGTGTGTGTGTGTGTGTGTGTGTGTGTGTATAATTTCAGGTTGATTTTTTTCCTTACTGAATTTTTCAATCAACTCTGTTGTATAAATTAGATACATTCCCTTAAGAACATTCGGTTTAATTTCAATCATTCTAACATTTTAAATCTATGCAAAGTATGGTACATACCTTCTGTCTTAATTGAATCAGTTCCTTTCAATAGACATTTCTTCTTGAACTAAACATTGAAATTCATAATATCTGCTGGCATCTCCTAGCCAGTGCAGAAATTTTATAATTGTTTCCTTACATTTTTGTTTTAATGACAAGAACTTTTCCAAACAACCTTTTTCTTCATCAAATATTCCTAAGAATAATCTCATTAATTTGGTTAAATGTCAATTCATATATATATATATATATATATATATTCATGAATTATTCACACAAAAACAAAAGCAAAGGTTAATGATTTAATTGGCGAGAAATCCATCATCGCAAACAATTCAAATAATATACAAAAACCTCCGAATCCGTTATGAATGAATTGATCCTTGTTTCCATAAATTTCTGCCGTATTAGTTCTTATTTTTACTACAAGCTTTCGTCTGTTCCTTTGCTTTTGTTTTTGTGTGAATAATTCATGAATTTGTAAACTGATTGCACGTTTATCGTAATATATATATATATATATATATGTTGAAGCAAAGATAGGAAGACATTGAAAAGAATGCATAAGTCATCAACAAAATCTTCCAAATAATTTTTCTACTGGCTGTTCCAAGAAATAAATTGGTGATTTCATTTTCACCCCCATTTATTTTGTTGTCCCAGAGTTTCTTTATTTTAGCAAGGGCTTCAAAGCACCTTATCCAAGTTTCAACAAAGTCTGGGTCTTCTACATGGAACAAAAACCCTGTCGGTGACAACATATTGTTACGATATTCCAAATAAGGATTGCAGTTGTATGCCGTCAGTATTGATTCTACAGTCCAAGTACCATTGCTGTTACCATACATAATGCCTACACATGTACTAACCAACTGCTATTACAGTAACTAAAATTGTAATTACATGTTTTAAAATATTGTATTTTAATTGTAGTTTTAACAATTACAATTTAGATTTTTTAAATTTTAAAACCTAGCTGTTATAAACGTTTTAAAACTTTGTTGTTATAATCATAATTGATTTTATTTATTTTGAGCCGTAGTTTTTTTTATGTAAAGAGCTTCGAAAATTTGAAGATTTTGGTTTTATTTTAATGGTGGAGTATTGTCGCTTAATATTTCTCTAAATAATGAATGTAGACAGGAATGTTCCTTTAAATGTTGAGAGATTGAACTATTATCATTCATATGATATATAAGTTTTTATGATATATAAGTTTTTTTGACATAGTCATTTTGGTAAAACCAATATATATATATATTTACATTTTTATCAGAGATACAATCTCCCAAAGGACATTTAAATTGATATAAATGTTGGTTTTTTACACTAATTGATGGAGAAGAGTTATTGTGGATGATTAAGTTGGTTGTATTAAATTTAGTGTAGTATATAATTAATTTTATTTTTTTAATGGGGTCAGTAGTGGATATATTAGTATTTAGGATTTTTTTTAGCTAGAATGTATTTGATTGCAGTATAGTAGGTTGATATGTTTTGGGTTATTTGAGGAAGTATTATGTTCTTTTTGATTTATGTTAATATTTGTAACAGCATGGTTTTAAAATATCTAAAAGGTAATTGTTAAACTACAATTAAAAAAAAATATTTTAAAACATGTAATTACAATTTTTAATAAGAATTTACATAAATTAAGTTACCATCCTTACATAGCAGTAAATTTTAAAAATTTTACAGTATTCACGCACACACACATTCATAACTTACATTAATTCTTTGTTTTAGCAAATTCACCCCTGAAGATGATTTTGGATGAGATTGAAAGTAACTGGGAAGATAAAAATAATATGGATAATTACGGCTTTTTTCTTGATCAATTTTGTACAAACACTAAGAAATTAATTTGTGAACTTGAGAGGATTAAAATAAAATAAAAACAAACAGACTTAATATGTCTAGATTATTCAACTAAACATGAATAGCGCAAATCTGTAAACAGTGACTGAGTCACTGGCATGTTTATTCAAATATGTAAAAATTCACCTTCCTCTCTGCCGATAGCTTAGGGGAAAAATCTCTGACTGATGCTGGCTTGAGGCAATTGGATGTCTAGTCACACTGATTAGCAGTAATACAGCAAAACAGTCTGTCTGTAGATGACTATATATATATATATATATATATATATATATATATATATATATGTATGTATGTATATGTTATATTCCGTGCTAATAGGAATATGGACTGGACAAACATGGCAGATAAATAGTAACAGGTTTATTGTAGAAACCAGTACAACAAGCAAGGAAGTAATAGTTATGCGCACAGTCATCGCAAGTCAGTACAGTTGTGTGTATGCTACTATCAGAAGGCTGCTAGTTCTCGCAGATCCCAGTTCGACTCTGCTGTCTGCTGTCCTAACGGATAGGTGGTTACTACCTATTGTGCCGCCACTCATGGGGGTGGCAGGTTATTCCATTACATCAGTATATATATAAAATATACATAGACACACATACACTTCTATACTGATAATGTGATTATTAACATAATGTTAATTGATTGGGTTTGCAGGATTTAATGATGTATTTTGTGGTGGAGACCAACTATAGATTATGAGAACACAGTTACAAAGAGTGGGTATTTGGACTTAAGTTAAAACTTAATTATTATTTTATTCTCTTCTTCCACCTTACTAACTCTGATCTGTAAACCCTTTCCTTGTTAACAGATAGGGAGGGGGACTAATGGCATTACTAAGAAACTGTCACCTGAAATAAATTGATTGAAAGAACTGAGAGGCAGGAGACTTGGCAAAGGAAGAAATGTTGCTAAGGGCGACAAGAGATAAGAAGCTGTGGAGAACCATAAAAAGAAGTCAGGCTGTGCACAACTAAGCATAGTAAATATCTAAGTAACCCACTAATTCAATAATAGCTATAAATTTATCATCAATTAAAAACAAAAGAAAATACCTGTGAGGCATCATTTTCAATTTTTCTAAATAAAAATGGCATTACTAAGAAACTGCCACCTGCAAAAATAAAAACATTTCAATGTATACTCTCATAAAAATTCAAATTCAGAATTCTAAAAGTTTAATTTTTCTCTATAATAAAAACAAAAACTGAATTACTAATCTATTGATATGTGGAAAAGTTCCCAGCATCATCTTTTTCAAAAATTAGAGACTGAATTTGTATGAGAAAAGTGTTTTTAAATGTTAATTTAAAATAATTTATGCTAAATTTTTTTTAAATCAAGGTAATTTTTTTTTTAAAATAAAGAGAAAATTACCAAAACACTTCAATTTCACTAAAAACAATTTCTTTCTCATAGAAACTTTAATTTTATTAAATTTTTTAACAAAAATATTTCTTAGCATATATTCTTTTTAAAAAATATTTTTTTTTATATAAAGGAAAATAGCTAACCCAAGTAAGGGAGATAATTCACTCACGTCACCACATAAGAAAGTGAAGGGAATCAATGCAATCATAATTATTTCCCCTTTCATTCTATGCAGTTAAGTTTCATTGAATTGTTTTTTTATGGTTAATCAACCTTTTGCCGATTATTTAAAACCTGAAAATATTTTTAGATTGTAAGAATATTTTTGGAGATAATAATGATCCAAGTCTTACTAATTAACCCACGGTTGGGGAGTTAGAAGAGATGGCTTCATACCTTTTCCAAGAATATTTGTGCTTAAGTGACTGGAATTGGAAATAAGCTTACCAATTTCTAATTCTATTTGTTATACATTACACCACCTGTACATCCAAGCTTACAGCACAGTCACTCATCTAGGTACTGAACAGGCTCAACTTCAGTGATTGCATGAGAGCCAATGTTTCAACATGATATGGCCATAAGCCACAGTTATGTTTGCTCCAGTACAAAGTTACAAGAGTCAAACATCTCCTGAAGACTCAATGCACTTGCAGTGTTTCTCACTATTGCTAAACAAAAGATTCCCTCCAGAGTTATCAGTAGATTAACACAGATACTGGGAATGGAGTTCCCACCCCTCACCAATAATGTTTCAGCTGATTCATTCTCCAGCAGTCTTTAGCTATTATTGATGTTGTAGAGTGTTGCTGGTTAGTTATCTGACCAAGATATTGGATAAAGTCAACCTTGATACAAGATCAAATTGATGGGACTCTAAGTGAGGACCAAACATGATAATAATAACACATAAGACTTGAATGCTGACAAAAGTTCTATAGCAGATTATCTACTAGATTAATTGATTAGGTTTCATAAGTTTAAATCCCTTTTGGTAAATTCAACCTTTTTTATGATTTCTAATCCTAGTTTTCTTCTGCCATTCATCATTACAAATATTTTCTTTTCTCATAAATCATTTTAGAGCCAATATTTTGTTACATTTAAAGAATAAAAATTTAATTCATTAACATTTTATCCAGTAATATGGCTTGATCTAGTAATTTTCTTTAACAAAATCAAACTCTAAAAGATTGCAATTTTTCTTTATTTTGCAACCTAAAATAATTTTCTTGTTTTCCAAAGTTCCAAGCTAATCTTAACACTGACAATAAAACAATACAAAAGTAGAAATCCTGTATTTTCCACAAATTTTGTCAGAATATTAAAATATTTTCTTACCTAAAGCAACTGTGCTCATCAGAAAAGAATCTTGAATATAATTAAAATTATTTTTGACATTTTCTTGCACTTCTGAAGTTACAAAGAATGTTACAATCACCTAAAAAGAAAACAAAATTAAAAATGAAAAGCATAACATAAACATAAAAATCTTTCCATAAAAAATATAAAAATGTCAAATTTAAACAATGTTAAATGGCTTCTGTGATCACAACATTAAAAAGTTAATTTTTCTGCTTTAATAGAGAAATATATAACATTTTACAAAGGGAAAAAGCAAAAACGTTCTGGCTTAATGTAATACTGTTTTTGGAAAAACAGAGAATCTATAAAACAATTTTATTAATAAATAATATGAAATAATTAAAAATGAATAATTCATAAAAACAACTAAGATAATTATAAATAAATATTATAATAGTCTAGGTTTGTCTTCTCACTTACTTTTGAGAAAAGTCTATTTAAAAGAAGGCCAGATGGTTTATAAAAAATAAATTTGATATGATATATTTGTCTGATAAAGATTCTAATTTTAGAATTGGCTCTAAAAAACCCAGCAGAAATAATATGGTCAAGGCAAACTGTGATTTCATTTTTCAAATTAAAAAAAAATATACACTTTGTATATAAAAGAGTGGCTTCCAGTTACATAAATTTAAAGTTAGGAGCCATCTGGAGCTTCTTCAAGAATATATAAAAAGACAGGTCAACAGATAATTTGAAAAGGTAAAGGAAATTTTAACTAGAAGGAGCAAAAATTTTGGAGAAGTCAGAAGATGAGAAGACATGAAAATTTCATCCTGAAATCATAAAAATAAGGTTCCAGAAGGAAAAGCTATTTCTGTTACTTGTGAATGAGTTGGGCTGTTTCTCATAAAAGAAATAAACAGAAAAAAAGTAAATCAAGCAAAACATGGGAATAGAACAGTGTTCTAAAGAAGAAAAAATTGTTAAATGTCCCAGTGATACAAGTGGATTTGCCAAAACCCTTGTCTTTTTTGTCTATTTGTTAGACATACATTTTTTGAAAGGGTATTTTCAACCTTATTTAAAGTTTTTGTATTACCTTCTCAAAGTTTTTTCATTATTTGAAGATTGTATTGTAAATCTTTGTAAGCCTTTATATATTTTGATCTGTTATCTGCCTTTATTAAAAAGGCACACAATAGGAAATTTTTGTGCAAGCTTTTTTGTAAAAATTGTATTTTGTTATACTGTTTTAATGTCTATGTTATAAATGTTTGTTCCTTTCAAATTTCACATAGTAGTTTTGAGTTTTGTTTGTTTTTGTATTCAGGATAAGAGAGGAAGTGTTCTCTCTTCTCCTATTCTCTCCACGGAAAAAATTCTTTTAAATTTTCTTTATTAATTTATAAGATCAATTTTAGTAGATTAGTTCCTGAAAATTGTACTTTCTTCACACACTCATTTAATATTGCAGCTGCCATACTTGTATTTATCTGAATGGTCAAAGTAAGTTTCTGAATGTCAAACATCATTTACATAACATACAAGCATCACTATTCAGATCACTAAACCATTATTGGTCTGTATACCATTTTACCAGGCAAACAGTCCTCAAGGAAGACAGCAGCTTGAATAAAAACAGTTGACTAAATGGAATAAGCCTAATTAACTAAAATAGTGATGCAATCTCATCACAATATTTTGACAATCATTGAACAATTGAATCATTATGATTGAACTACTGAGGCTGTGAGGTGGTTAAACATTAATTCTAAGCAGAAAAGGGGTTAAACCCAAAATTAAATATAAACTAGGAGATAGAAAGATAAAAAGAGAGAATGGAAGACATTTTCCTTGGTAATGTGGAAGTGAAGAAAGGGCCATCTGGGTTGCCTCACTCCTACAAATTAGATTGATACACCAAGAGTTTACTTTTTTTATTTATCAAAAATCTGTCATGTGGGTAAAGTAAATTGGGAAATGGCTTTATCTCATTCTTGGGAAATTAGTAAAACACATGTCATTGGTGAAAAGAGAAACAAACAGGAATTATATTTTCGTTAGCGAAAATGAATGAGAAATGAAGAAAGAGGGTTAGGATTATGAAAATCGATCTGTCATAACAGGCAGGTGATCTGGTTTATGTTTTCACTAAGACAGTGACTGGCCCAAGGATGGAAAACAGCATGTCTCATTGTTGAGAATTTACATAAATAAATATCTTTTCATTGAAAACAAACAAATTGGGCAATAATTTTTATCTAACACTCAAAATAAGAAGGTGGTCTGGTTTGTATTTTTGCTGGACAAGCAGGTCCAGGAAAGGAGTCAGAGAATTGAAATTAATGAAATTAATTAACTAAGCCCTTTCTCTAAGACACTTTAAAAATTAGATTTGTCACAAAAACAGTTATGCCAGCCCTGAGAATTGGGCGGAATTAGAATACCAAGAAGGAAGAAGGAAGAGGCAGAATTTAGCCCCACCTGTGCAGAGTAGTGGTGTGAAATGTGAAGTGAAGCAGGTTGGAGTTAAAGGAGGAGCAATCCCTGTGACTACTCCCAAGGAAAGTTGATTAAGAAAGCAGAAATAGGGAACAAAGAAAATCTTTATTGGAATTAATGAAAATACCCAAGTACACTTTTTTAGAAATTTTTACTCAGCTTAAAAAGCCTCTTCTTTGAAAGTGCAAGATTGCAAATACACTCAGCACAATAGATAATAAAACACAAAGGAATCAAATGTTGATAACAATTGTTTACAAATTGATACCATCAAACAAGAAAAAGGCCCATTGGAAGACTTCATAACCACTGTCAAAAAGCAAAAGTTGAAGTAGTATGGACACATCAGAAGAGATCAGAACAATCTTTCCACTGCCATCCTACAAGGTACCAAAAGAACAAATAAACAGAGGAGAAAATGGGCTGACAATGTCACTGAGTAGATTAAAAGATCATTCGAAGAGACTCTGACATTGGCACACAACTGGGACATGGAGAGATGGTCGGGTGCTCAGTTATTCATTGATCCTATGACCACACCCAGTAATGACACTGACAATGATATAGATATGCAATCACTAGATGAATATTTTTTATATCTTCCCAGTGACATTTATATAATTATCTAAATGTTCTATTTTTTAATCATTTCACCACAAGCAAAGCAGTAATGCCACTAGTACGCAGAGGGTTACAGGGAATAAAAGTGAAAGAGAAGACTGGGAATAGGGAGCGTTGAGGAAAGGACAAAAGATGACAGAAGATGACAATTGTGTGATACTGTAAGATGCTGAAAGGATTAAGAAATAGCCTGATAGCTATACCAAGAAATGAAGCAAGATTTTGTTAAATCCAGAAAGTTTATTTTTCTTCCATGAATAAACCCTAAGGGAGGTAGAAGGGCTGACTTGAAGTAAAATGGCTTTATTATTTTGAGGAATTTAGTCAAAAAGGCCTTCTGGATAATTTAAATCCACAAGGGTTGGGGAGAAATGGTGTAAGAGCATTCGAAGTTGGTCAAGAATTTTGTTCAACATGGCAGAAATGAAGGTGTGGTTTATGAAAAGTCTCCTGATAAGCACAGGCATAAAATAGAATCAATGGAAAGATAATATTTTTAAGAGTTTGAGGAACAAAGGCAAAGTTAAGATTTATTTCATTTCTCAAAAAAGGGTGGAAAGTATAGATTCCTTTGGATAGGAACTGAACCCGAGTGTTACAGGTTGAAACTTGCTAAGAAAGCTATCAAGGGGACAGCTTGTGAATGTCCAACTGAGAGAATGAAGTCTGAGTCAAGGAATTCCATTGACAAAAATTTTGAGCAATAATTATAATTAATGATTTGGAGCTAAGCCTCACCTGTTTGCCTATGCAGTCTAAAAATCAAGTTTGTCAAAATGACAACCGAAATGAAAGGCTCAGGTGAAATACCAAAGGGGATGAAGAAATTGCCTATGCCCCTTATAATGGCAGTAATGGCATGAGATACCAATATGAGGAGGAAGGAGTTAGGGTGGATTGATATTCTGCCACCACTACTCTTAGGAGAAGGGACCTCCTCAAAACTGCATACTGTTACGAACACCCACCACACCTAAAATTATTATAAAAAATATACCATTGCTTATATTTTAGAAGCATTCTAAAATAAAGAGTCCATTACTTGCAGAAAATGTAAAGAGATAAGGTAGAATTATCATCATCATCATCATCTTGCGGCCTCAGCCGAGATTGAACTCACTACACCTCTCCAGTATTCCCTATCTGTCATAGCACCTAAAAGATCTTCCTTAGGGATCAATGTGTCACGTTTTATCCTATCTGGAAAGGTTAACTTGCGTGATCGATTGACAGATGATGGGTGCCTCCAGAGTACAAATGATGACACAAGTTCATCTGTGGCACGTGCACAATGCCCGGCAAACTGGACACGTCTCTTACAAACTAAAGTTGATACTCTTGGCAAGTCACCATATATCATTTCTAGAGTTGGGTGGTTTTGCCATGAGAGATTAAGCACTCTTCTTAAAAGACGTGTATAACATCCATCTAAACGACGCTGTTGTTTTGCTGAGAGAGTCCAAGTTTCAGAGCCATAGAGTAAGATTGGCTCAATAAGTACATAGAATTATTGGTGACAAAGATTAACCAGAATGTACCCTTTCTTTCCCTTTTGGTCAATGTGTTGACAGCATGATTTACACAGAGAGATTCCAGATAGGAAAAGTTGAAACACTTTAAAGTAAACTCTCTCTGACCCTGCAGATGAGAAAGGGGGTCAATGACCTCATTTTGCCTGTAATGGGAAAAAGTTCATATTTGAAAATTGACCACGTGACAAGAAAAAAAAAAAAAAGAAATTGAATAGTGAAACAAAAAAGTTAGTCTTGTCCTGGCCTTTGGGCCAGCCGGACATGTTTGTGCAAAATACAAGAGCCTTGTCCCGGCCTTCGGGCCAGATGGATGCGTTTGTAAAAAATGCACGCGTAAAATATGTAAAAAATGGACAGACACAGCTGCAATAAAAGCAAAAGTCTTGTCCAGGTCTCCAGGCTGGAAAGATGAAGTCTGCTATAAATGCCAATGACCCTGTCCAAGTTTTAAGACTGGAAGGGCAAGTCAATGAAAGAATTGGTTGGGTATGAGAAAGAGAATTTGAATGGAATAGATGGACACATTTGCTATGAACACAAAACTTTTGGTCGGTTATGCAAAAAAAAAAAAAAAGAAGTCCCTCTTCAAACCTCAAACAGACGACTGAATGCAAGTGCGATGAATGCAAAAGAAATGTTTGGATTCTGGGAAATAAACTATGACATACACTGAATGCCGCTACATCAGGACGAAAGAGAGATAGAAGACTTCGATTTATCCATCACCCAAATCACAAGGCCAGACACTTATAGAAAAAGAAAAGAAGAAGGGAAGAAAAGATCTCAAAAGAGAATGCCTCCACACCGAGATGAAGGAGAGAGAAAGAAAGCAGTTTCAACTTAATCGTCACTCAAGCCCCTAGGCAGGACAAAAAGGAAAAGAGAGTAAGTAAGAAAAGACCTCAAAAGGAGACGCTTATAAAAAGAAATGGAAAAGGAAAAAGAAAAAGAAAAAAATAGTAGATATAAGAGACATTAGCAGAAAAGAACTTTTATTACAAGATAAGTTCGTTGTTTTCCTTGTGCTTCATTTTGTTTAAATGTACTGCTTTTTCATGTTTGTACTTTCATGCAAGTCTAGCATAAGATCTTTTTTATCATGTGTTTCTTTCTACTTGTCTTAAAATGGTGATGTTTGTAAATTCATGCAAGTATGGCACATGTTCTGTAAATTCGTGCAAGTGTGGCACAAGGCCATACGTTGATTTGTGATTTACCTTTCTAAGAGGATGTCCCTTCCCCCTATTTTGTCCACAATGTTTAAATGCTTATCCTTGACACACTGTCATTTTTGTTTTGCCTGTTTTTTTTATTTTTCCCATGTTTTTACGTTTGTTAATAAATTTATATTCCTTGTCTCCATTGTTGTTTGTCACCTATCGTGTTTGTTCTTTAATTGATTCCACTCAGCCATGTCTGATCATTTGGAAAGAGACCCTTGGGAAAGAAATATATTTTACAAAGATTGAATAAATGTTAAAAATAATAACACATGTTACGATCTTACTCTACCACCGCTATTGATATGGTTTGATTGATATTCATAAGAATACAGCTAATTTTCCAGAGTCAGACAACAAAGGACACTTTGTAGGGGTTAGGGTATTTACCAAAACCCCAGACCCTGTCAGATGCCACACCGGTTTTGGACAAGAGTTCATATAAGCAGACCAAAGACAGTAGTCACTCAAGTTGCCATTAGAGATGAGAGATGATCACTTCACCTGGTCTCATATGACTTGCAACATGAAGAAAACCTCTGACTTGAGCCTTGTGTCAAACTTAGTCACATCAAGAAAAATGTCACGTTAATATACAAATCAGGAAGGGTTGATAATTCTGCACAAGGAATTTATTTTCTGCACAAAGCATATATATTCCTGCCTGAAGAATTGATAATTGAAATATCAGTTCTGTACAAAGAACATTATATAAAAACATTCTCTTTTATTCAAATTATTTTTTTTACTTGTGACTTCACTCTGCCCAGACCAAACCAATGCAACAATTCCTGTCAACAATTTGATCCTTGCCAGCCTTGTGATCAAAACCAAAAACAATGTGGGACAAGGCAAGGCTTGGATCAATTGATCAACTCATCAATCAACCATGGGGATTGGATATCAGATGGCTTTGCAAACTACTGATGTTGCATTTAAATTTTTGAAGATTGTAGTTATCAGGGAAGCAAGGAAATGGAGGGGAGTTCTACAGGTTGGAAGTGTGAGAAAAGAAACTCTTGGAGTAAAAGTGGAGGTTGGATTTTGCTATTTCAACAGTAAAATGATGGGACCTAATTGCCAACCTAGTAGTATGCTTAAATTCATGTAGTCAGGGAACCAGGGAAAAAATTTCATCAGAGCAGTAGCCATGAAAATATTTGTAGAAAAGAGAAAGGGAAGATACATCATACCAGTGAGAAAGTGACTGAAGTCGAGATGCCTGATTGAGATCAGTTACATTACAGATCCTTCTTTGGATTTTGTCAAGAATCTAGATATATACAACAACATCATCAGACTAGATATGGCAACAGTATTCAATGCATGGATGATTTGTAATTGCACAAGATAGATTCTGTCAAGAAAAATATACTTATTTTTGTATTTACAAGGTGGGTTATCCATGTTAAACTTACATGAATAAGTTCATAGCCTAATAATAAAATTATTTTATACAATAAATATTTTTTTATATAATTTTTTCCCTTTTCAATATATTTTTAAACTTATATACAGGCTTTGGGCTTAATTTTCCCTTGTGCATCTAATTACTGATATTTAAAGACAAACATGATGTACAAAAAAGATTATTCCCTCATAGCTGAAGATTTTAGACACAACCAAACATTTTTATAATAAAAATAATAATAATAATAATAATAATTGATGCAAAAGTTCACAAACAACTCACAGGCAATAGAATGCACCACCCTAAGACAGATGTTGATTGTCTATATCTGCTAAGGAGCCGTGGGGATAGGGGCAATAGTCAACTGGAATTGTCTTACAAAATTTCAACAACGGAACTTTATAAGTATCTTGCAGCTATACAAGAGTGGATGTTACAACTCTTAATGGAGCATGAAAAAAGTAAAAAGCTTTATTCTGTATGAAAAGAAGACCATAAATATGCAAGAGAATTTGGGTTAAATGTTGAAAATAGTGCAGAAGTAGATTCACAACTGCCACAAAATCAGCAAGAAAACTGAAACAAAAAGCAAAAAATTAGGCCAAAAGCAAAGAAAGCTGGAACCAAGTTATTCTATATAATCAGTATCTTCTCTGAAACAAAAATGATGATGCAGATCAATTCACAGCCCACAAGTGGCTAAGGAGTTTAAGATTTAAGAGTGAGACTAAAGGATTTATTCTTGCTGCACAGGACCAGAATCAGCTTGTACACAACTACCAAACAAATATCTTGCATAATAGTACAGACCCAAAATATATGTTCAATGACCAATACATTGAAACTATTGATCGCCTTATCTCAGGATGCTCAATATGCTCATGCAATGAGTACTAAAACTACCATAACAAGGCAGGTCAATATCTACATTGGAAGATCTGTCAACACTATGTGATAAAAACAACTGTAAAGTACAAAGACCTGGAGGTTGAAATAGGAAAAATATGGTACTCAAAAACTAAAACTGTTCCTGTTGTGAGTGAAGCTTTGGGTTTGATAAAGAAAGGAACTCAAGAACAATTCAACAAAATCTCTCCACAAAATCCAAACTACAAATTTCAGAGACTGTTCTGTTTTCATATTTTTTCTATTTGTCTTTTTTATTCCAATTTAATTTGTTTTAAAAGTATAAAATAAAAATACTTACAGCCATAGTGAAAAGGCTTGCCTTAATAAAAGTAAGTATTGAGACAACAGGTTGAACAAGGTTAACAGCAAAAACTACGAGTAAGGCGAGACACCAAGTAAATACAGGAATCACATATATGTAACTGAAATTAGAAGGAAAGAAATGAAACAATAAATATATGTTAATAAGTAGTGAATTAACATATAGTATTATTTTGTAAATTCTTCAATAATTAAAGAATTTTCTGATCACTTAAAATTAAAATCTCCACTAATTCAGTATACATAAGGATTAAAATGAATTTTTAAAAATGAAAAAGCTTTCTTGAAGTTTTCATTTTAGCTTTAATTGAAAGCTAAATGATTTAAAATTTACTATTTCCAGTAAGCAAAATATTCTGGTGTATTTCAAACAGAAATTATATTGATCAGAATCAATTTTTTTTCACTAAAATTTATCAAAACAGCCATTTTTGACACATTTGTAAACAAAATTTAATTCTCAGTTTTAAAAATCTTGTGAAAAAACTATATTTCTGAAACTTTATTTGAGGAAAATTAATAAATTTAAAGTTAAATTAATTGGATTTGAAACAAATATTACTTACTTATAGCATAAAAGGTTGTATACAAACATTTCTTAACTACAGAGTCTTGTTTTTTTGATGTGTTAATCAATTTATTAACAGTGGATTAACAGTCAAACATGTTCATAATTAATTTCGGTGGAGCAGACAATAAAATTTATAAGCAGGGACAACCCTTAAAACACATGACATTTTAATGATTGATTTGTACATCCATACTTCAGAAATTCTGAACATAACACACATATAAAAACAAATTGAAATTTTTTTTAATATTCCGAGTCACTGGATTATAATAATGTTTACAATTATTCAATTTAAAATTGTAAAAAAAATGAAAACAAATCTTGCAAAAATTCATTTTTCATAAGATTTTTCTTTCTTCAGACAATATTGTCTTTAATATATATTATTCATAAAAGTAATTAAAAGCTTCTCTAATTAAATAATGTCTTAGTTTTATTGTGTTTTTATTTTTCGATTCAGAATAGATTTTCAGTAAAACAGGGTTTGATTTTGCAAAAAAATTTGGTGATTTAAATTTTTCAAAAATTCTGCTTCTAACTAATATAGCCACTAAAAATTATCACATTGAATTTCTCAAGTTTTCATAAAATTAAGTAAGAGGCTGAAATATGTAAAAAAATTTTATCAAGATTTTCTCATAAAAAATTTAAAAAATAAATCCACTCATTTGTGAATAAGTCCTGAAAATTTTATTAAAATCAGACAATTATTTGATTTCTTCAAGAAATTTCAAATTAATGTCTGTCACCACATCAAAAAATACTTTGATCCTTCCTGTTAATAATAACAAAGATTTTGACAATAAAACCATGTTTTCATTATGTTAGGAGTATCTTTTTCATAACAGTAAATGATTAAAAAAATTTTTTGTGGAAAAATATTGGAAAAAAAAAAAAAAAACGTTGAGCTCAAATTCTAGTTGAATCAACTTACATTCTTATAAAACCCTTGGGAAAACGTTTGTTGAATCCTCTTTTCTCCCCTGACTCCAGTCATGGATAAATAGCAGGACAGATGGCGTTCTATAGCCATGGATAAAGTGTTTTACAGAAAGAAATGGCAACCTACTGCAGAAAAAAATCTGAATTAGTCAGTCATGTAAAACATATTCTCTTTATAAAGGCGAAAATGACCTATTTAAAACATTTGTAGTTGTCGATGAAAACTAGATCCTTTTTTAATGGTAAGTTCAGGAATTGCCTGAATTTTGTTTGATCTAAAGAGATGATTGGTTCAGGTAAGTTATAGAATGTCATTGATAATATTACACATAAATAATTTATGAACTGCTGATAACAACTGTGAGGATTTTATATAAAATTCATATATAAGAATATTTATATATAGAAGAAAAACAACAAAATAGATATTGTTACCTATAGTGTAAACAGTGATCTGGTGTGTATTCTAAATTGCTTTTTAAATGCATATTAAACAAATACAAAAAAAATTATCAATATAATGCTACAACACTGATGAACATTTGTTAAATGGCATTCTTTAATATTTACAATGTTTCTTACAGTTCAGTAGTTTAATCTAAATACAATCAAATCGGAATGTGGAAATTTTGATTTTCTAAAAGAAATTGAAATTGTGGATAAAAAGAATAACAAAATAAAATAAAATTTGTTACTTGATTCCAAGTATTTCACCATAGGCTTCACTGCCTGCAAGTGAATAAGCAATACACATTGTCATCCTAAGAATATAAAAAGATAAAATCATATTATGAAACATTAGTATAGTAGCATTAAAGAAATGCATAAAAACAGAAATGTCAAAATGAATCAGAAAGTTTAAAAAGATAAATTTTTAATATATATCATAATTTGTTATGTGTGTACGTTATATATATATATATATATATATATATATATATATATATATATTCGTACACACACACACACAATAAAATAAAAAAAAAATTAAAACTGGCAAATTTTAAAATATGTCCTGGGTATAAATACATCCAACGGCCATAAAATAAATCAACCGAAGGTTTGAGGAGCATTTTTTTTTTGACCGGGATGGTATTTTTTGTTAGGGTCCCTAATATGAGACCACCAAACTGGGGCAAAAAAAATTATGAAAACTTTAAAAAATTATTTTTTTGAAATAGTTAAAAATATTTTAAAACAATACATTTTTTGAAAAAATTATTACTAGCAATGCATTTTTGTAAAAATTACTAATCCTCCCAAGAAAATTTTAAATTTTGGCATTAAATGACCCATAAAGAGTTGATATGCCACTAAACAAACAAATATGTTCTGATGATTAATACAGGTCTGACAAACTATTCCTAGACATTGACATTGAGTGATGACATTTCTTTGTTAATAAACAAGCCTTAAATTTAAATAGAACTTTTGACATTTGTAAATCATTGCCAATGAAACTAAAGACTGAACTTAAATCTCATGTTCAAAACTAATGTTTTAATGAATGGAGGCTATTCAGACCATTGATTTCTGTGGGCCACTAAGGTTTTGCAACTAAATAGTACATGCTGATGTCCATCATCATCTTCATGTAGCAGCTAATATTGGGTTACATGGTACCAGTAGCCTTTGTTGAGTGGCCTCTAACATATTTTGGGTTCACAGTCAGGTTTTGCATGATGTACATGATTGGGAAGAGTTTTTCTTATATTAGAGCACTCATCATATTGCATATCTCCCTCATGCTGGAAGGTCTTGGGCAACAGGCTCCATTCCAAAGAATGTTGTCTTCTTTCACAGCCAGTGATTGCTAATTGGTTTTGGTTCAGAGATAAAAAGACATCAACAAAGGGGATTTTAACTTAACTATTTTATTAAACATGTTGACGTGTACATTTCTAACTATCCAGTACTTTTTTTTTCTCTCACCTCACTAGGAAGTTATTTTGTTAAAAAACGTAAAGGAACTAACATCTACATAAAATATTGACAGTTTTGACTCAACTCTTAAAACCCTTTCTCTGTATCTATCATTCCCATGCTGGCTCATCCAATCAAAATCGACTTCCTTTATTTTGTCTTGTATCTGACCATAAAGGTCAAAACAAGGAAGTCAGAGCAGAAATACACTTCTCTAAAAAATAATAGTCTGCTAAACTATTATTTAACAATCAAACACAGTATCATTTGTCTGGGTAGTGGAGCAATGGCAATTTTTTTTTTCCAGAGGATGGAGTATTTTATTTTATTGTCCAATGTAATCAACATTAAATATTTTTATGGTTGAATAAAATTTGTTTGAAGTCAATATAAAAAAGGAAAGAAATCTACTTTTTACATCCTGTTAAGTATTTTGAACAAATAAATTATTCAAAGTCTTTATCCAAAAGCAAAGGTTTTCAGAATCCAAGTTAAAGCAAGTAAGAGAGATTTCCAACTCATATTTCACTTTTTACTTATTTATACAATTAGATTTAGGAATTTTTTTTCATTTTTGAAAATCTTTTATCTTGAGTAAAAAAATTTGTGAGATGCATAAAGTACCATAAAAAATTTGGCTGTGATCAGTTCAGTGTCACAGAAACATTTGCAAAATACACACACATTATATATATATATATATAATTATATGTATATATATATTTATATATATATATATATATATATATATATATAATGTATATATATATATATAACTTTTTCAAAAAAATGGCAGTTCCAAATTTTTTTCTGGTCTACTACTACTACTTTGATAAAACTGATATTGAAATTTGTTTTATTTAATGCATATCCATTTCCTTTTATATTTCTTTGTTCTTTAAATATTGAGAACATATGTGACTTTGAAGAATGATTAGGCTTGTTTAATTAAAATGAAGCAAAAATATCCACATTGTTTTGTATAATGAGCCTGTTGAGGTAAAGAAAAAAAAACTGTCCACTGTTTCAAGGCAGCCAAACAATAGATTTTTGTTTCTTTCCGCAAAAAAGGCCAAAGAAGTCCATCTGGACGAAAGTATTTGATATTTCTCCAACACACACCATAAGATGACAAAATGGGGTCACAAATCCAACTTTAAAGAAAGTTGCCAACAAAAACACGTGTTCACTTCCCCTCCTCAAAAAAAAAATCATCTCCTTTTATAAACTAGAGGCACCATCCTCCAGTAATTGGGGTTCTTCATGTTCAAGCCCAAAAAGTAAGCAAGATTTTTCTCACCTGTGCAGCGGGTACTAAGGTTTAATATTGATGAGATTTTCTTTCAATGTATAATGACGTTAGATCTGTTTTAAACATATCTCATCCTTGGATCAGATTCCTGTTGAAGCATCCGGAATATTTTTATGATGGAGGCACTACATTGACAAAGGAGGGGATCCAATTTGGGTTAAGCTGTATCTTATGAAATGGCCACAGTGACGGTGCATGAAAAATCAGAACAGGCCTTTGAAAGATCAAACACAGAGATTCTGAATCCCTTCGTTTGCCATTCTCTCAATTTTTGTACCACACATCTTCCATGAGCTGTGTATGTGTCTAATGTTCGTTTGGGTTCTCTATAATCTAGTACAGGCCAAACCTTTCCCTTGTTCTTTTGTCCCCACGGCCATCAGCAGGATGGGGCCTCTTGGAGGACCAAGCTCTTCCTTTGAGATATGGAATCAGCCATCCATTGTTGAGACTATTTGCTAAAAATTGAGGCTGGTATTCTTCATTCTGAGGTATAACAAACCCTAATATTCTGAGGACCGGTTCTGGAGCTTTTCTGGTGGGTTATTCAGAGAAACCATTATGAAAATGCTATCCATGTCTTTGTATTTTATATCGGATTTTTGTACCAAAGTCGGGTTCGTTGATCTTCAAAGCCTTCTAGCTTGGTAAGATGGGCGGATCAAAAATTATAACTAAAAGTAGTTTGTAATTTACAGTTATTTTCCAGCTCCAAAATAATTTCCATCCTGAAAAATAGATCGAATCTTCATAACAAATGTAAACGATCAACACACAGGCTGTGACAGGGTCACCATTGTTGATACTAAGTTTGATGATAGCTAACTCCCTTTTTCTGAGAGCCTTTCCATCACCCCGGAAGTCGTCCATCTTTTTGTCTGCTCCACTGTCGACAAATCGAACCATTCATGAGTGACCAAGAGCAGCCCGAATCTATTAAAGCGGTATTCCATTGATGCGCACCTTAATCACAGGGAGCGCCTCTTTCCTGCTCAGTGCGGGGAAGAGACCGGCACTGACGTCGCGCCCTCCCATTCCATTTCCCGGACACTTAGAGGCAATATGACCTACTTTATGACATTGGAAGTATCGTAGATCGAGACGTGCCTTTCGCGCCGACCTGGTGTGCATTTCTTTGCATTGATAGTGGCAGTCTCTGGCAAAATGATTCGACCCAGAGCACCGATAGCAGGTGGCAACGCCATGGCGACGGATGGCTGGGGTCGGACTTTCTTTGACTTCAATTGGTTGAACAACTGCGGCCACTGGTTCATCAGCCTGTTTTTCGTCGATCATGATAACACAGGCTCTGGTCAACAATTGATTGAGCATCAGGTCTTCCATTCTGGATAATGCGCGAAGTATTTGCTTTACATGGCTAGGCACGAAGGCACATGTCATCCATTCTTCAGGAAGTGGTGTGAACGGCGAGCTTCTTTAATTCTGCCAAATATACGTCTACTGTCTCACCAGGTCGCAGATGCCGTGCCTGGAATTGGTCGTAGGCCACAAACCAGTCAGTTCCAAACGCGGTTAGTAGAGCGTACTTTATTTGCTCAATGTCACTTTTCTGTTCTTTGCTCAGCTGCCTATACACAGCAAGGGCACCGCCTTTCAATCGCAGTGGAAGAATCTGTTCAATCTTCGTAATCTCGCATAATTCGCAGACCAGTTCCACTTTTTTGATCCATTCAACCACAGATTGTCCACACGTATCACCACTGAATTCAGGGATTAGTTTTATATCGAACAGTCTTTCCGCCATCTTGCTAGAGACAAAGTAAACACCGAAATAGCTTGTTTAGGTAAAGAAAAAAAAACAAAAAAAAACTGTCAAATCGCAGTCCATACGATAGTCAGACGTAGCAGTCCAACACACACCGTAGAGATGACAAAATGGGGTCACAAATCCAACTTTCACTTCTCACCAACAACGCGTGTTCGTCCCCTCACTCAAAAAAAATCATCTCCTTTTATAAGCGAAAAACGACAACTTCTGTTCACCAAGAGAATTTTCTGATTGGTCACGCCATTCAGGGGAGGGAAGAACATTAGCATAGCTTCTAGTCATTGATGTAGATTTTTGCTGACTACTTTTTGGTAATTTTTCTTCGGCAGATCGCACACAAAACACAAACCTTTTTCCAGGGTACCTGATTATCTCTTTCACTACAGAGCCACTACAATCAACTAGTGATCCTTATTTTTATTTTAGATTGCTATTCCATCAAATGGGAATTAATCTAACTTCTTTTTCTTCAAAGGTGGTAACATTTTTGTTAAATTTTCAAAATGTTTGCCCATTTGCTGGTAAACAAGTCATCTGCACAAGGATGAGATGTAAATGAAACTCAATTCAACAAGATTTTTCTTGTGCATTTAAATAAAAATGTTGAAAAATCAGAAAATATGGGATTTATATTGATTATCTTCAAATGTCATTTCCACCTGTCTTTATAGCAGTGGCTGGAGTAGGGAGCTAGGTTGTTACCAATAAAATGAATGGATAATTACATTGATAAAAATTTGAATGATCCAAGTAATTTTGTTATTTTTGTTTAAAAGGAAGACTCATTCTTTTATTTCTTTGGATTTAGTTGATTGACTGAAGAATTAATCTGCTCTTTATTATCATCACAACAACTATTGTATATCTTGATACTCACAGCTCTAAAACAATGATGATGTCAAAGACATGTCTAATGCCATAACATAGGAACATCTCCCCTAAGAGATGCAGGTCAGGTGATCTTATACCTTTCTGTTCCGTAAGTATGACATGCCCTGCCAATACTGGACCTGAACAAAAGAAACATAAAATTCTTTAAGGTACAATATTAAACTTACATTAAAAATAACAATGAATTATTTAAAAATGTTTTTAGGTTTCAATGCCAAGTCAGAATCTTGTTTATAAACTGAGGAGTATTAATAGTTATTTAAAAAAACTTCTCCTGACATTATTGGATCAATGTTTACCTCCATTCTCAGGTTGACCTTCCAGTTCATCACATGTATCTTCATCCATCATCTCATTCAAGGGCAACAACTCTGACTGGGGAGAAAAAAATAAGCTGAAGTTATTTATTATTTGGTGTGCATCACTCAACAGAGGGCTTCAAAAATATTTCAAGTCAAGACTCAGTGAGTAATTTAAATTGATTTAAGAAAGACTGTGTGCAAATAGGACAAAACTCTGGTTAGAAATTGTGAATTTTAGATACCTTCTACCCATGTTGACAGTTGACAAAAAGAAAGAAAATGGAGTGAAATATATCCTCATGCTGATGAATCAAAGGAACTTTTAATGGTCAACAAATTGAAAGTATTTAAAAGAAAGGAATATAAAACATATCAACATATCATCTGAAGAATACTCTGATTAAACACTGTCATAAAAAGGTGCAAAGATAAAATTAAGATCCTTGAAATATGATGAAAATTCATAAGAAATACCAAACCTGAAATGAAAATAGAAAAATATTTATTACATTTAGTTTTTACAGCTACAAAAATGTGTTGATTTTATCAACAGCAAGGATAAAAATGCTCTTTTAGTTCAATCTAAAATATAAGATTCATTGCTAGACTGGTCAGTTGGTTTTGTTCATTGGATAGGCTATCCTTTTATAAAGCAGACCTCATTGTCTGAAGGTTTTCTCTGGAGACACTGCAGCATTAGAGAATTGTATTTACATAATGAGTCAGGCCATATAAAATGAAAAAGAAGAAGCAAGTAGGTTAGACAAATATTCTTTTGATAACAGCAGGTGAAAATTGAAGATCAGAGTTAAGTTAGTTGATTTTATGAAATATCAACCTTTGTTGAGTTAACGTTGAAATCAGTCTTTATTTTAAAACCAGAACTAAATATATAAGTCATATATGATAGAAATCATTTTAATATTAACTTTTTATATTAATTAATATCATTCCCATAAATATTTTAATTTTTTACATAGTAAAAAAAAATTCATTTTCAATTTAAAAAGTAAAATTTAAAAGTGAAAATAGAAGTAACATTTATAAAATTTAAGAATTAGCTTCAAGAGGCAGAAATGATATGTTTAAAACATTTCTTTGCTAACAAAGAGAAAATAACACATGCTATAACAATGGACTCTCATACATATTCCATACTCTTCTGGTGGGCAAACCTAAGGCCATTCTATACTGCAGTCTGTAGCAATCTTCAGATAGCTTCTGTTGCTTTTGATGACTGACAGCTTACTATTATTCTTGGCCTCTTCCAGCTTTAAAAGCATATCATGACTGAAACAAATAAACAAAATAAAATTAAACCAAATTGCCTTTCTTTCTCCAACATTTGTAGTGTTCATAACAATTTCTGCAGTGTAGAATTATTGCTATTGGAGCATTCTTCTGACATCCTAGCTGTGAAACTAATCTGAAGCCTTCAGTCTCTTCCAAGTGGATTCTGTTCCTCGCTATCCCCCTCTCTTTCAAAAGGACTTTAATGTCCACATGCATTGGCCTTGGTGTCTATGTTTGCAACCAGCTCCCACTGGAAAGGGAAATGTCTCTTGAGTCTCTGAATTGTTCTTATATGTGTTTTCTATCTTTCACTAGTAAACTCAGTTATTACTTCTTCCCTTCTTCTCCTTCCTCTCATGACTGTTGATTTCAAGATAGAAGTTCTGATAGTTTAGATAAGACCCTCTCTCTACAAACATCTGCAAATATTGCTGTGTTCAACCAATTATGTCAAGTGGCTTCATTACTCTAACACTGCTGACCTCACAGGCATCCAGACTTTGAACTACTCAATTGTTAAATCTCTCACTCAAATAGTAGACACTTCCCTATACATTTCCCTAGTAAATATGATAGATATACTTCTCTTCTTGCTCCTTTACCTCATCCACAGTATCATGTCATGCACTGTAGGTCTGTCCTTTTAGTAACTCAAACCATATGGTAGTGTCTATATATATCTCTTTCTGCCCTATCATCATGCAAGAACCTATTAAGACAATATCTTTCTGCAATCAATGCACTGACTGAGACTCATTTTGGAATTTCCATATAATGCCTCTTGGATTGATATTTTTAATCATCCTGTTGATAGATGTGCAACTGGAGTGTCTTCCTGGGTGAAAGTTGGCATCAAGGCTTTTGTGAGAGCATGGCAATACCAAGTGAAACCACACTCTTCTCCTTGGTTCTCTCCTGCGTGTTCAGCCACTATAACCTACATCAATCATTCTTTATACCAATACCAGATTAATAGGTTTGATGGTAACAGTCACCTTTTCTCACCACCCATAATGAATGTAAGGATGTCAAAGTCACTATTTGCTGATAGAATGAGACACTGTATAGCCTCTCATAAGTTTGATTCTATAGACTACTGCTAGCTCTGCAAGTGTGTACTGAACAAGAGCAAATCTTTAGTCCCTCCTTTCTTCAATCAATTTGAAGTATTGTCATCTACTGCAGATAAAGTTAAATGCTTTGCTTAGAAATTCTCTTCCAACACCACTCTATCTACTGATGTTGCTGCCAATATGGTTGGAAGACATAATGGTGTTGCTGCCAAATTAGGTACAAAAATAGAAAACATATCCAGATTCAACATTCAAGAATTTTCACTGTATAATTCATCAACTGTTCTAAGATTTTAAAATTAGATCATGTGTTGAGTTTTGTCACAAAAACAGTGACTATATCAGAGGTCATGCTCTGCATCACCATCAGTTTAGCCAGTTATTGGAAGATGTGAATAATCAGTTCACAAATGTCCCATTCTACACAGAAGTTTGGTGGCTTTCATATCACAAGGTACTGAAAAGATTTTTTTTATTGTGACATGAAATTGTTATGTTTTTGGAGATGAAGGGTCAAAGCACAGATGAATTGAAAGATGAAAGCTGGATCCAAGATCTAGCTTTTTCAGTGGATATTACTGCCTAATTAAGTGACCTTAATTTGAAATTACAAGTTAAAAATAAGTTCATCATTCATTTATATGATGATATCAAGTGTTTCATTGCAAAATTAGCGTTATTGAAGCCCCAGTTGTCACATGAAAACTTGATCTATTTTCCTATGTGCAAGGAGTTGAAAAAAAAACTGCCAATACTGAGTCTGTATTTATCTTTGCTAAGTATGAAAATTACGTGGAATTGCTGTCAAAGGAATTTCAGCAAAGATTTTGTGATTTTTCATATTGTGAAGATCAGTTTGTATTATTCTCAGCACCATTCACTTTTGTTGTTGCTCAGGTAGAGGAAAGTCTACAGATAGAACTACTGAAAATGCAGACTGACTTGACACTCAAGAGAAAGTACCTAGAAGTAGGGGTACCTGGATATTTTTTATTTTTCTTCCTCAGACATTTAAGAACTTTAGAAAGCTTGCCACAAAGATTATGGTGATGTTCTGTTCTACATATGTCTTTGAGCAGTTATTTTCATTTATGAAGGCCACAAAAATGTCTCACAGAACCAGATTAACTGATGAACATTTGTCATCTTTGATCAAAGTCGGCTCTACACAGACATTCCAAACTGATATATCGAGAATAGTTTGTCTAAAGTGATGTCAATCATCAGGACAACATAAAATGATTAAATTGTACTACCTTGTATTGTAAGTATTTTGTATTTAAAATTTAGTTACCACTAGTTGTGATTAATGTAAGAATGTAAGCAGGTGCAGCCCTTGAGGCTGCAGATATGGCCAATGCAACCCTCCATATGCCCTGAGTTTGACATACCTGCTCTAACTTACACTGCTTCTGAGCTACATCAACAAACTTCTAAATGTCATAGGTTCCCAACTAGGTATCTATGCATATGACAATTATTTATTCTTGTCTTAGTAGCAAGTTCAACAGATCCAGCAAAGTAAACCTGGAAACTCCACTCAAAAAAAAAAAAAAACTTCCAATCAGTGGTTAACTGTAGCAAGAAATGTCTTGTAAATTTTAATGCCTCTGAAATAAAACTGCTTTCATTTAACCACCAAAGAGAATGTTTTCTGTTTGCTCCAGTAGAGCAACACTTTGCACCTTCTTAGACTAACTTTGTCCACTAACATAAAGTGGAGAGATTATATTGAATCTATTGCTAGGAAAGTTGGTTCACTGTGTTGTGCCAAACAGTTCTTCTTGTCAGAATCCCTTTTGCACATTTATAAATCTAACATTCAACCATGCATTGCTGCCATATTTGGTCTGGTGCTCCTAATATCTATATCTAGAGATTCTTGACAACATTCAAATATTCTGTAATATAAACAAGCCTGACATCTCAACTTCAGTCACTTTCCCACTGATGTAACATGGCCTCCCTCTGTCTTTTCCACAAATATTTTCATGGCAATTATTCTGATGAGCTTTTCTCCTTAGTGCATCAACTGCATGAATTTATGTGTGCTAGCAAACTGACAACTAGACTTACTGTTGAACTAGCTAGATGCAACCATCAATTCTATTCTAAAAGTTTTTTTTATTCTCACACTTCTCACCTGTTGAACTCCTTTCTGATTCCTTGCTTCCCTGTTATATACAATCTTCAAAAAAATAAAATGAAATGTTCCTTTATTGTCCTTTTCTTCACCTCTCTCCTCACTAAAATCTTCTCATTCTCTTTCACTCCCTGTAACCCCTTGCATTGTAGTGGGATGAAATGATTAAAAAAAATGAAAATAAAAAAAAAATGTGCTCATATAAAAACATCATTGCAACATAAAATTGAAATATCACAAGACAAATGTATATATTTTACATTTTTTCCTATTTTAACAGGAGAACTAACAAAAGAAAATTGAAGATAGGTATATTTTCATGCAACCACCAATTATGACACCAAAGACATGAGTTTAGAAAAAGGGAGATAATTAGATGATGGAAATTCGTTGGTTCAAAACAAAAGAAGGAATTACTAATTAGAAGTTTAAATTTTTCAGAATTTAAAAACCTTAAAATCTGTTGTATTCTTATATCTTAACAGTTTTTATTTCTTTAACATTATGACCAGATTTTATTTTAAAGTATTTTTACATTTATAAAAAACATGATTGCAAAATTAA